GGTTATCAAGGCTGGGTAACTGTGTAGCCAAAACCTTATTTACATGTAAGGAAACATCTTCGGACAGCGCTGGCTCTTCGGCTTTGAAACGGAGATGAGCACCGCAACCCTAGAGTCGGATTCGACTGGCTTTTGAGCAAGGGAACCTTTACCTTTACTTTATGTGCAGGCACCTTCTATGTGATGCATCCCAACAGGTGACCTAACGTGTACAGCTTTCTGAGCCTATGTGTATGTGCACAGTCCATTGTGTGTAGCAATAAATAGTCCATAAAGCAAATATCAGGCTTATTCTCTAACACAATGTAGCACTGAACAGAGTCAGCTTCGGACAGGAGGGAATCCTGGAAGGGTGCTGAGGACTTCCTGTGTTTGTTTTTATTGAATAACTGCTGCCATGTGGGTTCTTTGATGTGAATTAAGGTACGTGCTCCGACTGAAACCCTTTCCACACTCAGAGCATTTATAGGGCTTCTCTCCTGTGTGGATTCTTTGATGGGAAGTAAGACTCTTACGGTGCCCAAAGCCCTTTCCACATTCAGAACATTTATATGGCTTCTCGCCTGTGTGGATTCTTTGGTGGGAAGTAAGGTGCTCTTTCCGAATGAAGGCTTTCCCACACTCAGAGCACTGGTATGGTTTCTCCCCTGTGTGGATTCTTTGATGATAAACAAGACCAGAGCTGTGACGGAAGCTCTTTCCACACTCTGAACAGCTGTATGGTTTCTCCCCCGTGTGGCTTCTTTGATGGTAAGCAAGTCCTGAGTGGTGACCAAAGCTCTTTCCACACTCTGAACAGCTATATGGCTTCTCCCCTGTGTGGATTCTTTTATGAGAAGCAAGTTTTCCACTCTCTCTGAAGCCCTTACCACACTCTGAACATTTATATGGTTTCTCTCCTGTGTGGATTCTGTGATGAGAAGTAAGATGCTGTTCCTGACTGAAGCTTTTCCCACATTCTGAGCATGTATATGGTTTCTCCCCGGTGTGGATTCTTTGATGGGAAGCAAGGCCTGAGCTGAGACTGAAGCTTTTCCCACACTCTAGGCATTTATGTGGTTTCTCACCAGTGTGCATTCTTCGATGGTAAGCAAGACCTGCATTCTGACTGAAGCACTTTCCACACACTGAGCATTTATATGGTTTCTCTCCTGTGTGGATTCTTTGATGGTAAGTAAAGCTTGAGCGGTAACTGAAACGCCTTCCACACTCTGAACATTGATATGGTTTCTCTCCTGTGTGGATTCTTTGATGGTAAGCAAGGCCTGATCTGCAACTGAAACTCTTTCCACATTCACAGCAGGCATATGGTTTCTCTCCTGTGTGAATTCTTTGATGATACACAAGACCTGAGCTGGAACTGAAGCTTTTCCCACAGTCAGAGCATGTATACAGCTTCTCACCTGTATGAATTTTTTTATGGTAAACAAGGCCTGAACGGTGACTGAAGCTCTTCTCACACTCTGAACACTTATATGGCTTCTCTCCTGTGTGGATTCTGCGATGGGAAGCAAGTTTTCTGCTTTCTCTGAAGCTCTTTCCACAGTCAGAGCACTGATACGGTTTTTCTCCTGTATGCAGTCTTTGGTGACAAGTAAGGTCCTCCTTCCTACTGAAGCTTTTTCCACATTCAGAGCAGTTATATGGTTTCTCCCCTGTGTGGATTCTTTGATGGTAAACAAGGCCTGAGCTGTGACTGAAGCTTCTCCCACAGTCTGAGCACTTGTATGGTTTCTCCCCTGTATGGATCCTTTGATGTGATGCGAGGCCTGAGTTATGACTGAAGTTCTTTCCACATTCAGAGCAGTTATATGGTTTCTCCCCTGTGTGGATTCTTTGGTGGGAGGAAAGAACTGCTCTCTGACTAAAGCTTTTCCCACACTCCGAGCATTCATATGGTTTTTCACCACGGTGTCCTCTTTTATGTGCAACAAGGTGGACATTCTGCCTGGATAGCTTTCCGCACTCTGAGTGTTTGTGAGGCTTCTCCTCTGTGCGCCATCTTTTGTGTAAAATCAAGTTTCCCCTCAGACTGACATTTTCCGTACTCTCTGACCCTTGTGACAGCTCCTCCCCATCCGGCATTCTCTGTTGTGTGCTCAGATATGGTGTGCCAGCTAAGACGTTTGCACACACAGGGAACGTAATCCTTTTGTTTCCTCTGTGACTTGCTTCTTGCACTGTGATTTCATGGCAGTCGGCACCTTCGGGACGAGTGGATTCCTTCCTCCACTTCTGTTTTCCTTCCATGTACCCTCTTTGCTGTTCTTCGCTGCTCTTCTTCTCTGTAGGAATAAAGGGAGAAACCAACTGAATGAGAAATGAGACAAACCTGATGGACTCATATCTTGTATAGCAGAATGAAACAGACTAAGTGGGGGGGGGAGCGGATTACCTCTTTTCATGGGTCTTAATTAACTGTGTTGCTGGCCTAAAACCTCAGATTCATTCCCTGAGGTCTCCCATTCAAGGATCTCAAACAGTAGGACTGGGGGGGGGGAACCCTTTTCTGCCTCAGCCCCTTTGGAAGCTCCTCACTAATCAACCCAGACAATACAGCATAAGTGACAGATTCGTATTTTTTGCTGTCATATAATATGGCCCAGTGTTACACAGACCTTTACGAGATAATACGGGCATGCAAGGAAAGAAGAAGAGAGAAGAGATTGGATTTATTCCCTGCCCTTCACTGCCCGAAGGAGTCTCAGAGTGGCTTACAGTCCCTTTGCTAAACAATCAAAAGAGATTAGTTGCTGTAGATTTTCCGGGTTGTGAGGCCGTGGTCTTGACATTGTAGAATCTGACGTTTCACCAGTAACTGTGACTGGCATCCTCAGAGGTATAACAGATTATCTGTATAACAGATTATACAGATAAGATTAGAATTTCAACAGCCAATCCACATACAAAAGAACCTCCTCAGGAAGCAGGAAACCTCCTCAGGAAACAATCCATATGCAAAAGAACCTCCTCAGGAAAGCTCCTCCATTAGCATATTCATAGCCTGGGGAACTCCTACAAAAACTCAGGGCGAAACTCAGCCCTACCCCACCTTCTGGAGTAGATATAAATTACCTGCCTACCATTTTCTTCTCACCTTGACACAGAGAGTACTACATCTTTCTGTGTTATACCTCTGAGGATGTCAGTAACAGCTACTGGCGAAACGTCAGGTCCTACAATGCCAAGACCACGGCCAGACCACCTGGAAAATCTACAGCAGCTAATGAACTCCAGCCGTGAAAGCCATCGACAACAAATCAAAATAGAATTTAAAAACCCAGCCAGAGCATAAAAGACCAAGCAGCTTAAAATGAGTCCCAAAACTGTTCGGTCTAGGAGCAGACTGCAAAAACAATGGTAAAAGATTAGGAATGCCTCTGCAAGCCAAATGCCTCTGTGGAAAAAGCCCTGTCTCTGGTCCCCACCTGCCACATCTCTGAACTAGGGACGCTTCTGAAAAGTCTCTCAATGTCATGTTAATATTTAGGGGAAACAGAAGACGACTAGGGGAACTCAGACCCTCATCGGCTATTGCTTGTACTGTCTTGTATTTCAAGCTAGAAAAAGTGGAGAAAAAAACTTCCCACCCTACAAGTCAGTAGCTACCTGCCAATTTCTCTCCCTCCTCAGAGACCTGTATGAACGGATCTTCCCCTTCGTCCAGCCAGGAGGCACACTCAGGTTTGGGAATCACAAGTCCTAGTATGGAGGAGGGAAAACACACGAATTATTCCTCGCACATGGAGCTAGGAAGGGAACTGAAAACAAATCAATGAATATCATAATTTGTTGTTGTTCAGTCGCACAGTCGAGTCCGACTCTTTGTGACCCCATGGACCAGATCACGCCAGGCCCTCCTGTCTTCCGTCGTCCACTGAAGTTGGCTCAATTTCATGTTCGTTGCATCTATGACACTGTCTAACCATCTCATCCTTTGCTGTCCCCGTCTTCTTTGTCCTTCAATCTTTCCCAGCATCAGGGTCTTCTCCTGTATAAATCAATGGTGCGATCTCATTTGGAATACTGTGTACAGTTGTTGTTGTTGTTGTTATTGTTGTTATTTCAATTTGTATCCCACCCTTCCTGCGAACGGGCTCAGGGTGACTCACAACAATAAATATAAAACAATCTAAAACAATGCAACAAAATAGTGCAATAAAACCACTTTAAAATGTTTAGAATGGGCAGTGCAATGCATTTACGTAATTCCAGTTTCTACAGCCAGGGAAATAAAGTGGGCCGACGCCGAGCCGTGATGGTCTCATGTAGCAGCAGTAGGGAGGATAAAAAGGATATTATAGCACTGGAAAAAGTGCAGAAAAGGGCAACTAGAATGATCAAAGGATTGGAACACTTTCCCTATGAAGAAAGGTTAAAGCGCTTAGGGCTCTTTAGGTTGGAGAGACGATGGCTGAGGGGTGACATGATCGAGGTTTACAAGATTATGCCTGGGATAGAGCAGGTAGGGAAATTACTGTTCTCCCTTTCTCACAATACCAGAACTCATGGGTACTCCATGAAATTGCTGAGCAGTCGGGTTAGAATGGATCAAAGGACGTCCTTCACCCAAAGTGTGATGAACACATGGAATTCCCTGCCACAGGAGGTGGCAGTGGCTACAAGCACGGATGGCTTCAAGAGGGAATTAGATAAGCATATGGAGCAGAGGTCCATCGGTGGCTATTAGCCACAAGGTATAGATAGGAACTCACAGGCTGGGGCAGGTGATGCACTGTATTCTTGTTGCTTGGGGGGGGCAACAGTGGGAGGGCTTCTAGTGTCCTGGCCAATTAGATAAGCATATGGAGCAGAGGTCCATCGGTGGCTATTAGCCACAAGGTATAGATAGGAACTCACAGGCTGGGGCAGGTGATGCACTGTATTCTTGTTGCTTGGGGGGGGCAACAGTGGGAGG